AGCCCCCAGCATCTTGCAGGCTGCAGGGGAAAATCTCCCTGGGCCTCAGAAAGCTGCCAGCTTCCCCTCCCATCTCGCGAGTCACCTTCCCTGTCCCCGCCCTGCCCTCACAGACCTGGTTCCCCTCGCTGACTCTGCCCCTGCAACGCCAGGGCTTCCCGCCGGACAGCCCCTCCCCCAAAGAGCTTCCTAAAGGGTAGGGCACCCAGCATCTTGCAGGCTGCAGGGGAAAATCTCCCTGGGCCTCAGAAAGCTGCCAGCTTCCCCTCCCATCTCGCGAGTCACCTTCCCTGTCCCCGCCCTGCCCTCACAGACCTGGTTCCCCTCGCTGACTCTGCCCCTGCAACGCCAGGGCTTCCCGCCGGACAGCCCCTCCCCCAAAGAGCTTCCTAAAGGGTAGGGCAGGAAACTGAGGCACAGGGAGGGGCAACGACTTGCCCAAGTTCTCCCAGCAGGCTGACGGCAGAGCCAGGTCTCCAGAGGGAGGGCCAACCCAGTGCTCTACTCACTAGGAAATGCTGTCCTTCTGTTAGCCCCCTGCCCTCGGCCCGCCCCTGCCCTGTAGAGGCAACCTCAACTCTGGTGGCAGAGCTGGGAGCAGGCCAGGCGGCGGGCGCATCTCTCAGGAAGCCGGGGCATCACCAGTCTGCTCTGAAGCGGGTCGCAGGAGACCAACTGCAAGGAGCAGCTTTGTGCCTCAGTTTCCCCTCCACTCGCCAGGCTCAGCTGGCTCCCGTGGCCAGAGCAGGAAACACCTAGCTGAGCAGAGCAGAGCAGAGCAGAGCAGAGCAGAGCAGAGCAGAGCAGGGAACACCCCACTGCCCCCAGAGGGCTTTATTCAGGGCCCGTCTTGCCCTGCCGGCGGCCCACCACCTGGGGCTACTCACAGCCTGAGCCTGGCGGTCCTCTGCTCTCAGGCCCCACCCCAGTCACACAGAGCCCTTCTGTTTGCCAAACTGGCTAGCAAGAAGTCACACCTGCAATCCCCTTAGGCACTCCAGTTCTCCCATGTCACCACCCGCCCTGCTCCCTGTGCAGGTGAGAGGCTGGGAAAACCAACCTCCCCAAAGCAAAAAGGGTTCGTCTGATCCCAAAGGATCCGCCCCATTCCCAGATCAATGTCTAACTTGGGGAATGTCTACACTGCACAGCTATTTCGGGATACCTCCGGTAACCCAAAATAGCGATCTCATGTCTACACAAGCTGCCCATTATTTCACAATATTTTTTGAAATAACGGGCGTGCTATTTCACCATCCCGTTCCACGAGGGATAAGGGATGGCTCGAAATAGAGTGTTATTTTGAAATCTGGCATTGCATAGACATGCCAAATTTCAAAAAAAGCTATTTTGAAATAGTTTCGAAATAAGCTACGCAAATTGCGTATCTTATTTTGAGCTTAGCGTGCTATGTAGACTTTCCCCAAAAAGCATGCTGTGCCAATCCTTTAAGAATCTAACATTTAAGGCGATGTCTACGCTGCCGAGAAAAGTCGGGAAAAGATATGCAAATTGCGAGCCGCAATTTGCGTCTCTTTTTCCACTTTTTTCCAAAAGAGGCTTTTCCGAAATTTGGCCCATCTACACGGGGCCAAATTTTGGAAAAAACTCCTCTTTCGGAACATCTCTTATTCCTCTCACCGAAAGGAATACATGGATGCTGAAAGAACACGTCTGCTTTTTTGGAAACTGCTCCGAAAAAGCGGACACATTCCTTGGACACGGCAGAGCTTTTCCAGGATACCTCTGGTACCACAGAAAAACTCTGCAGTCGACATGCACCCTTAACCACTTAACTATCATGACAGGGAGAAGAAACTGCCAAAATTACCATGGTGTCAGCTCCCTGGTAGCCACAACGAAAGAAAGAAAGAAAGAAAGAAAGAAAGGTTAAAATTGTTAAAGGAATCAAATTCCACACACCAATTGCAAAGTTATTGGTGTATGCATGTAGCAGAGGTAGAAAAATCCGCTGTTTTAAATCAAGTCTCTGGACTAGAATGATGGATCGTGAGTCCTTTGTTGGACGCTCCAGTGAATAGCAAAGATTCTCCGGAAGGGAGAAGCCGGATGGAGGACGAAATGGAACAGCCTCCAGGGCCTTTTTTCTCTCCTCGGCCATGCGGTGGGATCTGTGGAAAAGCAGAGCCACAATGGCGCTTGTCACATGAGCAAGTCACCCGTCCATGCCTGACTCGGCCCTTTTGAAGCCGCAGCCCTGGCTCGCAGGCTGGTCTGAGCTCCGCCCAAGGCCGGTTATCAGCCAAGCGCCGCGATTCACTTGCCTGACAGTCCTTTCACGGACCCGATGCTCATGGCGTCGCATGGGCAGAGGAGCCCTCTCCTCCCGGCTCCCCGCCCCGCCTCCCCCCCGTTCTG